TATTGCAAAACATGAGCAGGTATAAAAAACTGGCATGCTAGATTTAACCTACAGCTTACTTTCCCCCATCCACAGCAAAACTGAATAGGGAAAAATAATCACTAGCCATATAATACAGCCCAATCAAGTTTAAGAAGAGGATGGTTTGTAATTCCATAGGAGGAATAAGGGCTTCTTTACATGGTGCCAAAGAACAACAGTTCAGAAAGATATGTGCTCTAATGCATTGTACTCCATGCAAATCCCACTCATGCTGTCAGAAGTATCTAGTTCACATTAATGTAGTCCTATACAACATCAGTTAACATGCATGTGGTTTGAGAAGGATAAAATGTGAATACTTGTGTGCGTACCAACTGTAACCAGAGTTCCCAATGTTCATACCCACTTTAAATCCTCATTCTGATCTTGTGCCCTTAGGAAATTAATATAGTAATATTCACAACTTTAGATGATGCAGTTAATGCATATGCCTAAAGGAACACAAAGTATAATGCACAATATCTTTTAAAATCCCTTTAATCTGAAATTATCAATATTTCTAAAGAATAAAAACAGAATTTTGAATCATAAAAAGAAAAAACAGCATGTGGGTCTTTAGAAAAATGCCATCTTCTGCTATTACTGTTAATAACATCTCTTTCTACACACGTTAGTATTGTTTAGACAACGCTACATCAGGTAATGACTGGTGCAGAATATTGTGCCTTTTGTTTCTAGTCCAATCGTCCAAGTAAAGCTTGTCTCCATAATCATCAGAATGTACCATTTGACATTATTTGGTCTCAGTCAAATTCTGAGCTGAGAGCTGTTCACATAAAAAGACACTGTTACAATCAGAACCTATATTGAAAGTCTCAGCAGAGAGGGCAAGATAAAACCTTCCCATTCAAACAGAGATGGCTTCCTTCCTGATAAGTTTTGAAAAACTCTGCTGCGGCAGTAAGGGTAAAATGTTACATTGCTATCTGCACTATGCTGCACCCTAGCTATGCATTGAGCTAGAGAACAATAATATACTTAATTTTGTACTTCTTGATTTTTTCACAATAAAAATCTCAGTTATGTACTCATTTGCTGTTTAACATATGGATGCAGGGTAACACTGATCATGTACATCACCACTGGGAAGCAAGCAAGGGAATGTTGCATCATTTAACTGGTGAATGAGTGTCCAGTTTCACTCACATTCAAACAGAAAGGCCCATCTGTCTTACAGCGTTCTTCATGCAAACAGAAAGAATCATGATAGAAATTTAGCCGTGTTAGTCTGGTGTAGCTGAAACAAAATACAGGACAATGTAGCACTTTAAAGACTAACAAGATGGTTTATTAGATGATGAGCTTTCGTGGGCCAGACCCACTTCCTCAGATCAAATAGTGGAAGAAAATATACTCACAACCATATAAATCTGTCCAACACATTATCAATAAACTACAACCTATACTGGAACAGGATACTAAACTCCAAGAGGCTCTAGCAAACAGACCCATAGTCTCCTATAGACAACCACCTAACCTCAAGATGATTCTTACCAACAACCACAAGACATA